TTCCTGCAGAAAATCAAGAAACAGCAGTTTTAAAGGGGAAGTCCGGTGAAAAATTTAAATTTCACAGTCCGTAGAGTTCGGGTCGCTGAGTCGAATGGTCTTTGTCCGAGGAGGCTGTGGCCTATGGTTCGTCAGATACGCCCAATCGAACATGTGCGAATTTGAGCGCACATCACCCAGATCCAGGTGATGACGTCACAGCGTGCAGCCAGGTAGCCACACCATCTAGTTGTGTACAAAAATGGCCATATTCGGAGCGCGTTCGATTGGGGAACCGTTTGTCGAAGCTTCTTTGGACCAAGACCATTCGATTCAGTGTTACAAACACTACATACCCTGTGATTTTCAGCTCGGTAAACCTCGAGGCTATACCGTATTTTAGCCGTTTCCGAGTTGGACTTTTTCTGTCAGCATGTGATGGCCTCTACGGCTCTAGCAATGCGCTGCGTGCATGCTAGCTGCAGTGCAGTCAACAAACTCATCACACACGGAACTACTCCCGCACTGCCGTGCTGGGGTAGCTACAACAAGACTCGAGTCACAAGACTCAAAAACTAGTCAACACACAGACTTGTCATGTACTACACTCGTATCAGTTCATGTAGTCAGAGAACGTGCGTTTCTCCTTGCCGGTGCCAGTGGTTGTGCTTTGAGAAAGAAAATTTTAGTTTTCCGCTCCAGTCCCAGGCGCGTGCACCGTATGAGTTTTTTGGTGTCTGGAAACCACCTTTTTTCGGGCAATCTTGCCAAAAGAAAAGCGTGTAGTACTGAATTGGTTATCGATCCTGCAAACGTATCGATCGACGGGCAGTTTACAGTACAGTGACTATGTCCTTATTTCGAAGTGAGAGAGAGTTGCTTTGCATGCAGTTCGAAATACATTATTCTCCTTTTCTTCAGTGGAGAGTAGCCACGGAGGGATCGATCTCTAGCTCTGGTTCGCTCCTGGATTGGCGATGACGTTCAAGAAATCCGTTTTGTCTTGAAATTTGAGTCAAGCACGCGCGATGCAAGTCAGTTCAAGGATATGATTGACGATATCTCCTTCCAAACCGTTGACTCAAATCAAGATCGCCACAGCCTTTCGTTCTCGCTCATGTGCGCAGCAGAGATGTTCGTCAAAAACGTTGTCGACTGGAAGACGTAAAAATGTGCGTCCATGATCCACTTGCGCTGCTTCAGAACAAAGCGCTGCTCCGACCGCGACTCAAGGACGCGGGGCTTCGCTTTTCTTCCGCGAGCTTCCATCGAAGCAAGGTCCATAACTCTCTATTGAAATCATGTGGAACATTGCCAATACATGCTGAAAACTTCGTCATAAGAACAGAAAGAAAGATACGTCGAATGTAAGCAGCGTTTTGATGAAACAAACAAGCCTGGAGTGGACTAGTGAAGTACCATAGTCTGATAGACATAGTGTTATCGACTGTAGTGTAGCCTGGGCAGCTAGGACTATCAAATCTTTACGTGTTCAATAATTATGACAAACTAGTGAACAAACATGTATATGAGTACATTGACTTTTGCACCCTCTTTGCAAATGCTTTTTGAAGTGCTGGTATGTTAAAGGCAACCCGTTTTATCCTGCTATCGATTATACATGTACCAACATTTCCATGCAACTGGCATCGTCCCCTCCCTCCATTCCTCTTTATTCTTATTTCTGTCCTTTCTACCCCTGTACCTGGTTCCCTCTCAGACGCGTTTGTGCCGGCATGATCTGATGATAGCAGTCGAACGAGCCCCGCATCTCATCAGCACCAGTGTTCATTGGTGCCCTGCACCCCTGATCTTGAGTCCCCCCCCTCCCTCCTCCCTAGCCGGCTGCCCTCGCCGTTATCTCCGACGGGATGTTCGGGGGATGCGCATGTGCACAAAATTCATACATAATTATACAATGGGGCCCAAGAAAAAAATTACCAACTCTAGAAACCCCCTTTCAAGACTCGGTGCATGCCACTGAGTCCCGCCTCATTATTTTATGCTACAGCGATGAGTGCACAACCGTGACAAGTGACAAAACAGCGAACAGCTCCCGGACCTAGAACTTTTCAGATTCCATAGCGTTGCGAGCGAAGAGCCGTGCCCATGGTTCAAAGAGCCTGCACTGTTCTCCAATTGAGTAGTCCGAAATATGCCAAGTTCGCACCAAAACATCACCATGTGCCAGGCTACTGGAGTCTAAGCGAATCGGTATGGAACAACATTTAGAGTACTCGCATCACTCTTCTCCATTTTGGCGACCCTGCTCTCCAGCGATCTGATAATTATATCAGCCTCGTCTGCAATAGCTGCTGCTTCTTCATCAGTCGGAAACTCAGTAGCGCTCACTCTTGACCGGCCCGCGCGGCCATTTCTTCAGCTGAATACCAAGGTTCTCAGCCCCAGACCAAACTCATGAAGGTCAGCCATGGCTGCATCCTCACTCTCACAAGGAGTTAGGTCTTCGGGGTCGCTTGCACCACCTAATATCAGTCGCCAAATCATTTGAAATAGCACTGACACTATTGCTTTCACGCACTCCTTTTGACCTAGCTGCACGCTATGACGTTGCGGAGGGTGTGGCGCGGCCGCATGACGTCATGGCGCAGCCCCCGAAACTCAGTTTTTCAAACGGAAATATCTCGAGAACGCTTTGTCAGAGACACGTGGGACCAACACCATTCGACTCAGCGCCCAAAACTCTACCGACTCTGAAATTTAAATTTTTCACCGGACTTCCCCTTTAATGCCCACGATCCTTGGATGATGTCATACGCAAATACAGACAGGCTGCATGGCTGCATGTTCAAGAGCTCTTGATTTAGCAAGCAAGTTTGCATCAACTGTAATGGGGCGAAATGTTTGCTTTTTTGAGCTCCTGATACCACCATGATTAATTTGCAATACCAATAACTATGCACAATATGCTAAACCAAAATTGGAGATGGCACCTGCTGAGAAACTTGTCTCTGCAGGCACATATTTGTTAGGGCATGAGTAACATGATGTCAGCCATATTGGTTTCATTCTCCTCATTCCATTACTACTTTCCAAACAAAAATGGAGTCAAAATACGATTGTAAGGGGCACAGTTCGCCTATGTGTTCCATCTACGAACATTTCAGGACATGATTTTCCTCTTTCTTGTAGCTCAGTGTAGCTTCCAATCCAAAATCCACTTCTCCAAGTTTTTCTTACCTACCCTCTCAAGAGCATACGGCATTCAGGTCGAGTTGAGAAATGAGCCAAGTTTTTACTGTGAAGTGAAGTCTGCCCCAGTTTAACCCGTTCACCGCTAAGGATATAATATATTATGTTTATGTCCTGAGTGTGCATCCCATACTGATGAAAACTTTCAGGAGGCGCGTATGTTCAAACAATCGAAACACAGCCAATTCTTACTCGAATTTCACAATTGAAGTATGAATGTCGAAGAAAAACATCTCATGGAAATTGTGGGCACAGGTTATGCGATCGAGTCCACCAACTAAACCAGATTTTGTACAGTCAGACGTGCACAATCTAGCAGAAAACTGACAAGGAGTACTGAGACATTCCACGGCATGACAGTCAGCTTGAGCACTGCTCGATAGCGCTAGTCAACGGCATTCCAACTGGGAAGGTTCATGGTTATTAGTGCTAATTCCAAAGAGGGGAAGGCAAGCGGCATCGAGCCGAGCACAAGCTACATTCCAAGGCTTCATGGAGCAGTGCTCAACCTGACTTTCATGCCATGGAATGTCTCAGTACTCCTTGTCAGTTTTGCGCTAGATTGTGCAGAGTGAAAACAAAAAAGAACTTACCATCTGTGCTACCTTCAACGACCAACCGTCTTCACATTTGCTGCAGAGTGGCCCAGCTGAATGAGCAGTGCATGCATTGTCAATGCCGTATCTCCATGCTCGGCGCACACACAGTGTATTCCTGCATGGCACCACAACAAACGTAGCCGAGTCGCCATCGTGCCCCGCGCCGGCAGCGGTTAGCAGGCTGTCGATGCTGTTGTTGGTCGTGCTGGACAGCGAAATCAGCAGGTTCCTGTTGGCCTTGTGCTCTGTGTGCGGCTGGAAGCCCAGAAAACCGGCCCAGTATCCCTCCTTAATGGTCACTGCGTGATCATCATGGCATTTGGCTATGCCAGGCTGGCTGCTGCACTCACATACCTTCGTTGCTGCCTTGTTGACATCCTGCAGAAAAAAAACATAAGAAATGTGTCATTCCTTAGACCAATAGCACTGCAAATTCTCACCCTGCCCTTGCATTTTTCTAACACATTCTGGCTACCTTTGCCTCCACTTCTTCAATGCTGATTTGGTTCACAATTCCTCACTTTCTCCCCTCCCCTCATCAACTGTTCATTCGTGTCGGTGCCTTGTTTTCGGTCACATTCCCCTCTATCTTTGTTCAGGAAGTTAGGTTGGTGTGTTTCATTGAAAAGAAATTAGGAGCAGGGGCAGGTGATGGCCTACAGAATGTATGTGTGCACCCCATTTCCCAACGGATACAGATGACGAGTGCCTACAACCTGTGACGTATCACACACGTTTCTTGCACCAAGTACACACAGGTCAGTCACCATATCTGCTGTTACTGGATGTTGCCCAGACCGGGGTCGTGAGGTAACGAGACAGCGCTCCCTTCACAAGCCAAAGGATTTCTAGGATTCTAAGAGCCTGGAAAAATAGACTATGGGTCTTTCGTGAGCAATCCAAGTGAAAAGTGAAGATTGCTTTTGGCGGTCGGTTTGTCGGAACGACCCGTAAACTTCATAGCGATTCTGAATAATTGGAACAAGTAGCGCCTCTCCTAACTCTACTTTTAGTTCATTGATGCCATCCTAGAGATAGAGAGATAGATAGATAGATAGATAGATAGAGAGAGAGAGAGAGAAAGGGAGAGAGACAGTGAGAGAGACAGACAGACGGACAGACAGACAGACAGACAGACAGACAGACAGACAGACTGACAGACTGAGAGAGAGAGGGGGAGGGGAGAGAGAGAGGGAGAAAAGAGAGGGGGAGAGAGAGAGAGGCATCGAGTAAGTGAGAGAGATAAAGTAAGTTTACGAGAGTGTTAATCTCACCTTACATTCATCTTTTCCCGTGCATTTCTTCATTTTCTGAAATCCTGGATAGCACTGTCTTAAGAGAAAGGGAACGTCCAGTGACAACAATGGCTTGTGATGTGTGCTGACAACTCCGCCATCACGGACAGTGAACTGCAGGACACCAGTGGTCCCCGGATGGCCGGCAATAGCCAGACCATGTATGAATGCAGTGCTGAGAAAGGGTTTGGGTCTCGTCACCTCCATGAAGCTGTCAGTGATGGCCAAACCCTTGTCAGTCAGCAACTGTGCTTTTGATGCTCCCCTTATCTGGATTTCAGAAGGAGAAGGAGCACGTGCATGTGCACAAACTCACACGCACACGCACACACACACACACACACACACACACACACACACACACACACACACACACACACACACACACACATACATACACACATACACACACACACACACACACACACACACACACACACACACACACACACACACACACACACACACACACACACACACACACATACATACACGCATATTACAGTCAACTTCGCTTATAACGACACTCGGTGGGGCGTCAAAAAGGTGTCCTTATTCGCAAAGTGTCGTTATACCCGAAGTCTCATTATATGTATTACAGTGGGATGGGACTTTGCTCTGGGCATGGAAATTCTGTCGTAATATTCGCGAATTGTCGTTATATCCGCAGTCGTTATTAGCCAAGTTGACTGTACTGTCCTGCTAGAGCTCTCTGCCAAGAAAAATAGTCATGCAGGTCTCCACGAAGGATCACAGGGGGGGGGGGGGGGGGGAGTTTCAGAAGGAACCATGGCAAGGATGGCTGAAACATCCACTGGAATGTCCAATCCCCAGGCACAGGGTGAAGTAGCAAAAAATCCCAGTTTTGAGCACAGAACACCTTAACAATAAAAGGGTTCAGAAAAAGGAGGGGCAACATCAGGCTATCCTGAGCCGCATTTAACACATGATACCATCACCACTGAAGGTAAATACTCTGTTAAGGTGTGCAAGCTTCACTGCAGCCACTTCATAACATGGAACACCAACATCATCACCAAGCCAAGTGGTCTCCTTGCTGCAAACTTCTAGTATCTCAACCAAGTGTTCAGCCAAGGGCCACCATTGGGACCGAGGAGAAACTAGTGAGGCAGGCCTTTATCATACAACACATGGTGGAATGAAACCACACCATATGTGATACTACTTGGGGTTGCAAAATCACAGTGATAGGGGCCCTGGCTGGAGCCATTGATGACATGCTTCCAGTTCCAGCAGGAGTTTTTACAGTACATCGGAGAAATCCATATTCTATATTGAGGGTACCTCGTAAGAAGGCCTAAGGCCTGTGGGAATGCCGTATTAAAAATTTAATTTAATAAAATAATTATAAATAAAATCAACACTACCGGAAGCCAACGCGGGTGATAGCAGAATCAGTACACTTTTAAAAGCATCATCCGACTTTTAAAAGCATTGCTCACATATTAAAGCAGTTAAAACATTAAATTAAAACAGTTAAAATGTACATGACAAACCTGTGACATACAAAGGGTATTAAAAGTATCTCAAACACACCAGGGTATTGTGTTAAAAATCCAAAAAAACACAAAATTGTTATCACAGGAAAGAAATGAAGAGAGATCCACCAGACTGAAGGAAGAGACATGGAGGATTTTTGTTTAGGTGACATGACAAGGTAGGCATGTGGGGGCAGGCTTGTTGTGGCCCCTTGGTGCTGCAGGCTGTAGTGGCCATTCACAGTTCTGCATGAATTTTGTTTGCTCCTCCCTCCGCACATTCTGGGGCTGAATACATGTACTGGCATGCTCTGGCGCTACACACCACAAGGAAACCCGACTCCAGTTGAGATCGCACCTTTTGAAGGGTGAATCTAGTACAACTGTGCAGAAACAAGCAAGAACACAGCCTTTCAACTGTTCCACTGTTCATAGTAAGCGCATAGTGTGCTGGCGTGCTGCAGTATCTGCTTGGTGCTGACCAGCTAGTGAAATATCGGCACGCCGTACAATCCCTTGCAGCTAGCTGTCCAGCGAGGAAAGTCTCGAGTGGGGGGCTCTCGATCTGCTCGCTCATCCGCCTGGCATTCAGTAGCACTTTATCGCCAAGGACTTCAATTCAAAACAGTTTTCACACTGCGCTTCAAGCCTTTTTCCTCGTGAACTTGCTGCAAACCTATGAGCTCTGCTGCGCGTGTTCCCTTTGCGTGAGGCCCAGAAACAGCTTGTATCTCCGTACTTCGATTGGCTGGATCGATGTCGTCCAGGTTCTCCTCGTTATCGCCATCACGACTCTAACTGGAGACGATTTCTTCACCATTTTCCGCAAGCAGCAGCAAGCGCAGAAATTTCGCCATCCCTGATTGTAGGAGATGGAATCCGTTCGACCGGCTCAAAAACTCTTCATTGTGACTAGAGGAGTAGCAGGGAATATTCTACCGGAAGCCCTTTGACTTCCCTGACTATTGAAACCCTTCCTGCCATGACTGCTACTTCTTCAAGCAAGCGAGGTTCTCTTTGGTTCCACTTCACTGCACTCGATCGTCCACGCGACACAACCTTTTTACAAAACATCATTTTTCTCAAAAAAATGATTTTCTCCCTAGGCCTGGTTTTCGCAGATTCTGGGCCAATTGTTTCAGACTCACCTCCACCCATATTGTAGCAGCCATACTTGACAGCAGATCATCTAGCATGTCCAGCGAAAACGTCATGACTTCACCTGGAGCCGGGTATAGCAGCAGGTCTCCAAACGCGGGCATTTTGCATGCAGGCTCAACGTGAAGGTCGGGCAAATGAAGTCCATGCGACCAGGAGTAGCCAGATACATGTGCCCATGGTGAAAACAGTGTGGCCGGGCCTGGTATGACATTCGTGGCCGATTGGGAACGCTGCTTGAGGAAATTCAGCACTGACTCATTACTGGGAAGTATTGAGGAGAGTTGTACTCGGCCCAATAATCTAAACACAATATTTTCACACATGCAGCAGCATAATTACCCATGTCAAAGTCTGAACTCACTGAGGAACAATGCATTCAATGGTGTTTGCAGTGCTGGAAATGGAGGGTCTTTGTGTGTTTGTACCCACAGTGATATTTGGGCCGCTGTAACACTATAAAACCTCGTGCTCCTGGAGTTCAGTTATTTATGAGCCTACTCAAGATCAACTGATGAGTTGCGAATCCCAGAAACATGGTGGATTGAGCAGGGGTTCGTGCTTTCTTCCAGGTTTGCCGAGTGGAAGGTTTGATAGACGCCCCGCTTGTTTTGAATGGAAGATGTGTTTGGCAGCCACGAGTCAGCAAAGTGTCAAGTTCGGTAGGAAGCGTGAGTTCCATCTAGGAGCAACTAACTTCAACTACTGTAGGTCTTTTATCGGCCCATTCAAGTTTCGGCCTCCCAGGGCTAAAACAAGTTTCGTCCGCATCAAGTTTTCGGCCTGCACTGCTGCTGCCCGTATGGATTGTCATACTGAACCTTGCAAAACAAAATTTCGGCTGCAACAAAATTTTCGGCCAAACATGTCCAGGCCGAAAATGGCCGAAAATAAATATGCGCCGAATATTTGCTGACTTACAGTATGAATGCCAGCTAAATTGGTTACTGAAGTACATCTAACCAATCCTATCCTCTTTTAAATGAAATAACTTTGTTTTTAAAGAGCCATTCTGTTTCAGTTGTACATATGGGTTTGTGTGTCTTCGCTCCAGGGTAAGTTCCATTCCATTGGGCATATTATCTACCGAGCCAAACGAAACCACGTCACCAGATTCCCATTGCTATTGTAGGCAAAATAGGGTTGCTATAACGTCACGGGTGACAGGAATGTTTGCACTGCTGCACGTTCATCCCAAGTAAACAAACAGAATGTTCGTCATTTGTGTATCATGACTTCGAATTCCACTTTAATGCAACTAGCTACATGCACATGTAGTCCCAGAGTGAATATACATAAACACGTTGACATTGAGCAATTTAAGGGTGCAGGTCAAATGAATTCCTGAAGAAATTGTGCAAAATTAAGAAAAGTTAATTTGGATGAGATATCACGCTATGTGTCACTGAAAGTTCTTTGTACTCGTAGACCTAGTTTTGTACCCGTGGTGGAAGTGGGTTTTAGGGTCATGGCCGAAACTATTCACACTGTCACAGCATGAAGGGAAACCTGACCCAAACGAAACTAAAAATGAGCGATTGAGGGAAGTTGAACCCACTACGGTCATTTCAGTATCGACTTGGCCACTTCTTGCCCACGGTAATCGTGTACCTACCTGAAAATTGATACAGACACAAATTATGTGTTTGTATCAATTTTCAGGTAGGGTCCACTGGGGGTACTTCAGATGAATAACAGTGCCACCCTTAAATATGCTTCTGATATTCCTGGCACCTGCTCCTCCCTCCCTCCTCCCTCCCCCTCCCCTAACTGTTATTACAATTACAGCATTGATGATTGTATGAAGGGAGAAAAGTGGAAGACGTCCAATAGCAGGGATTGCTTGTACATGAAATCAGTACCGTATTTCCCCGATTGTAAGACGCACCTTTTTACACTAAAATTCAGGGTAAAAAAGGAGTGCGACTTACAATCGAGCATGACTTACTACTGAAGTGAATATATTCGCAACAATATTGCTCAAACCTGAAAATGGGGGTGCGACTTATAATCGAATGCGACTTATAATCGGGGAAATACGGTGGTTGTCAGATTTCAGACTCAAACACTTAGCATGCAAATTAAACTGTGATTACTGACCGTGTGTCCGCTACAGCATTCCATATATCATGTGACCAGAATCCTCGAGTGAAGATCATCAGTTCTCGGGGCAGTATCTTGATGGCCTGTGAGGATGCCATCTCCAAAAGTAGCCACGATGCCTTACCGCCTCCCAGATAGCGGAACACGTCCTTACCATCCACTACTAGGAAGTTGAACGTCGGTCTAGTCGCACTGCTTGAACAGAGAACATGCTTCGACGTGACGCGTATGTCCTCGTACCATGTCAACTGTGAGCCTTGGCCTCCTGCAGAGGCTACTGGTGAGGACGCGGTGTCGTTCTGAAGGAAGCTGTCGTGCGGCAATCCGCTCATGTACAGCTGACATATAGGTGGTGGAAATGGCGGGTCGGTGTAGTTGTGATCCGGGGAGAAGATGTACGCCGGTGTGACTGCGCGGATGCAAGCGCTAGCTTTGAAATTCTGGAATTTGAAAAGAAACACAAGCTGTTACTGATGAGTACTAGTAGACTCGCAGTGCACCCACCCACACGTGCACCCACATATCCTGTTTCACCGGTTCCCTCGCAAACCCACACTTACATCAGACACAACCATTGGAGGCATCGAACTATTTAGAAGACTATTACCAAACATGTTCTCAAAACACCATTGAAGAATCTAACCCAAAAAGAACAAAGAAAGGAGAGCTGGGGACACACGTACCCAGCCCCGTACCGGACACCCAGCCAAGGAGGATGACACCGTAGCGTACCTACGCTTGACTGGTAAAGAAAACAGCAAGCAAAGAAAATCGGCCAGTGGGTGCAGTTCAAACATCTTGAACGACACGCGCAAAGCAAAACATGTGACAGAAAATAATGCATGATGTCATCTGTACTCACGCGGACATGCAAAAAAGGTCAAATCTACGCAAAAGCGAGTGCCGCAAGAAACAGCACAAATACTTCCTCCGTTAACAAAAACTTCGTGATGGATTTTGATGGATATGAAAACGCTTAGAACAGGTCAAGAACAGTTTGTATCGACTGCCAATCACTGGACGAAGGTGATTCAGGCTATGTACAGCGTCTTTACAAGAGACACTGTTGGCGGAATGAGCAGAGAGTTCAGTTCGCGTCGCTTTCGCTCGACCAATTTTTGACCTGCGTCGCTGTCGTCATCTGCTGCACGCGAGTCGTCATCTCTCTCGAGTCGTTGTTCCGCTCGTTTCAGCCTTCCCTCGGCTTCTTTGATCACACTCCGCTGACCTTGATGTCGCCGTCGTTCAAGTAAGTTGGCTTTCAAGCTGCGTGATCCGCCGCGATGGCGATTACTCGTTTCCACCAGGGAGTCGTGAAACATTTTTAATTTTTACGACTCCCTGGTTTCATCTTCGCTATCCAGAACTCCACGAAACGAGGAGTAAAGGCACAGCCAAACTGATTCCATTTTCTCTAATGGATACCCCTGCCAGCACTGAACGGCAGCGGCTAGCAAGTCCAATCGACTTTCTTTAGCCATGAGACTCGCATCGTACTGCAGACTTCCTGAAAGAATGCATGGTGATCATCATTCGAATCTGGGCTTTGCGCAGGTTGAACAAGAACTTGAGTTCAGAGTTTGTTTCATTGAGCCGTGCGATCGGAGCAGCTCCTTGTTCACTCGCTCATTGTGTGGGCTCGCTGCTCCATTTTATCGCTCTCTATCGCTCTCCAACTTACTTAGTGCTAAAGTGGTAGAGAAGCCAAGCAGCGCAATATATCCCTCGGAGAAGTGGTATTTCAGTTTCGCTCACCATGACTGTCATCACCTATGTTGCCACAGCGCAACCATCGATTCCGCTCGGCTTGTTGTGAAAGGTCGCTTACCTTGCATCGTACCTCTTTCATGGCATGCCAGGGAAGGCCACTGAAGAAAGTGATTGCGACTCATTTCACGGCAGTTTGTGCCCAAATCAGGCCCTCAAAAATCCATCACGAAGTTTTTGTTAACGGAGGAAGTAAATAATAATTCAAACAGCGAAGAACTAGAGAGGCAGATCTCTAAGTATCGAAGAGCAGGAATGTATTGTAGAGTCCCAGCGCAACTGCCGGAGGATGCTGACACCCACCAGACGGGTGGTGGCTGCCCCTGCCAGAGAGATAGAACGAAAACTGAAGCAGAGGAGCCACGTTACAAATAGTGAAATGCGCAAGGTAAGAATAACCGAGCAGTGTCCAATTACGACATACTGAGTAATGTACATGTTAAACGAGGACAAACACTAACAAATGGAGAACGTTCCAACATTTCCACATAATCCGCATACCCGCACGCCTCCTTCCTTTCTTCCTTTGCCCACTGCCACGGTTGGCTATGTGTCCCCAAACGGAGCGACTTGAAGGAGCGCTGCCTTCGGGACGCGGCATGAGGCCCTGCGAGTCCGGCGGGACGTGAATGGCTGTTTCACTGTTTGTTTTTTTGCTTTTGCGGAGCAACGGGAGGTGCAACTATGTCTAGCGATGTCTTGAGGACGGCTGAAACGGCATGTGCAGACCATTCACAGGAGTGGCTTCACGGCAGGTTGTACACGAGAGCATACCACGCTGTAAACTCCATCCTGACACCTGGTTCTCCACTCAGACCTATCATCAGCTGTGTCAAGCCACTCATCCATGCCAATGGACACCGCCGCCAGGTCATGTTTGACTGGGTCTTTCCACCTCTTCCGGGGGGCCACGTGGAGGTCGTTTAGACGGCAAGGCACCAAAGAGCAGTTGGCGGGGAATACGGTCACCCATGCGAGCCACCCGCATGCCTACACACTTGCACACCCACACACTTGTACACCTATGCACCGGCACACACACACACACACACACACACACACACACACACACACACACACACACACACACACACACACGCACACACACGCACACACATACACACACACACACACACACACACACACACACACACACACACACACACACACACACACACACACAAGCACGCACAAGCCGAAACGTACCATATGATACCTGCAGCCTAGCTGCTAGAACATGGAAATGGAGTGGATCTGCGATGGTTTATCTTTTTGAAAATTGAGTGCGCACGGAGTAATGTGTGGCCAAACGACACTGTATTGTGAGTGAAAGAGAGGTTGTGCACAACGGAAGTTCGTAAGATTTGGCCTTTACGGCTTGAAGTGACGGAAATCGGACAAATGTTCGTCAACTTAAAATGGAAAAGAGCTCAACAACGAAAAATACTTTCGTTGTGAGTACCGTACTGCCGCGCAGTAATGTGCGGCACATGCATATGGTTGTCCAATGAGCGCGTGCATGTCTGACTTTCGAGATCTATTTCCCGTACTCCAGAAATTTGATATTCCCACTTTTGTGCAAGCTCCAATGTCACCGATTTCGCAGCCTTTTTCGTTGTTGCCTGATCCGTAGAATGCTAGAATAACTAAAAATCACGATGGCTGCTAACACCCGGTAAACCCTAGTGGCCGATGCAGCGCCTAATGGTGAGGGTGTGGGGATAAGTCTCACAACCACTGGCACAAGTGTCGGGAAACCCCATTATTCGACTGGAGATTGGTTATGATAAAACAAACAGTATTGCTTTGTTTGAAAGGTATACTATGCACAGATGGAGCACAGACTACACCATAGCTTGGTGCTTGATGTATCGCTGGCCAACTGGTCCCTGGATCGAGTCCTGGTGGTGGCAATCAAATTCCCGGTTTTAACTCCCTCAAAACTTGTGACATGTGCAGTTGAGAATAGATTGGAGGAGAAAGCGGATCTAAATTGCTGTGGCGGTTGATTTTGTTGGCTAAAGTTGACAGCTGTTCACCTTTTTCTCCACCCCTCCCTCACCCTGAACCATGCTCCCTCTTCTCCGTCCCCAACAGACACGCAGTCACTGAAATCTCTCCATAGGCAAACTAACCATTGTTCCGATTTCTCCCAGAGGCCGATAATCATCGTCAAACTCATACTGTCCGAATATGGACAGGGCATAGTCCATGTTATTGTGATTGCTATCCAAGCCTGCTGTCATGACAGCAAATACAATATCAGATATCTGAAGGGTACAAACAACACACAGTGATAATAGCAGGGTGTTAGTGCGTTTCACACTGTAACATTAAGGGGGAAATGGAAAAAAAACTACAGTATATGTTGGACTCAGTAGAGCGTCCAGCCCCTATATGATGTCCAACCCCTATATAGAGTCCATTGGTCCAAAATCCACTGTACAGAGTCCAAACTTGGAATCAACTGTGAGCTCAAAGTTTCGATGGACATCACTCCCTGTATAGAGTCCAGCCAATTGGCTTCACCCCTATATAGAGTCCATTGGTCCAAAATCAACTGTACGGAGTCCAAACTTTGAAATCAACTATAAAGAGTCTTTATGTGGACAACACCCCCTGTATAAAGTCCAGCCAATTACGCATCCCCTATCGAGTTCGAAAATAGACGTAGGATCTGCTGTAAGCAGTGAATATTAACCAGAAAACGGCCTCTCCCTTTAATCCTATACATCATTCACTTCTCAAGATAAAAAAAATATGTATTGAGGCGCCACTGCAGCCACTTCATTACATGAAAAACCCTACAAACACCATCCTCAAATCAAGTGGTCTCTTCGCAGACGCTGCAAATTACAATATCTCAATCATGTAGTGTTGCCAAATTATTGTGCACGCACACATACATGCACACACCCACACAACGCCAAGAAAATACCTAGAAAAAAACCAAGAATCGAAAGAGAATAATGGAGAGCCCAGGATTAATTATTTGTTTTCAAATTATTGTGCGCGCGCGCGCGCACACACACACACACACACACACACACACACACACACACACACACACACACACACACACACACACAAACTTATACAACGCCAAGAAAACACCAAGAAAAGAGTAGAGACAATACACACGCAACTCCAACAGCCATGCAAACGCCCACCCATTTACATGTAAAGTCAAGATGGGTAACAAATAATTATACGAAACGAATGCATACGGGGACGGGTACACGCACGTTTACATACACGTAGTAGTGTAAGAGAGTAACATAGTGCAGTGGTCAGCATAATACTAGCACATGCTGAGAGTGCAATAGCAAACTTCACCATTGCTCATGGCCATGCAAATGTTCAGCAGCACTCAGTTCCGCAAGCTTCTGAAGATCAGCACACCTGCAACCAATAGATAGCACAAGGATATGCTTATTACCGTAATGATGCATTGGAGCACACAACTACCAAGTTCTCAACGAATGTGATGCTCAATGAAAGTCAACCCACTCAAAGACCTGTGAACAGGTGACGGTGGGGACAATAATCTATTAGTAATATGAGGAATAAGATCGTTTGTGCACACTCAAGACGCACAGACACACCAACATACATGTAGTGTACACAGTGTTTCACTTCACTGCAACTAAATTCAAATGAGATGATTTGAACAATCTGTACAGCGTTGCTGTCAGTCACGGTCTTCCCCAAGATGGAAATGCAATGATTTGTTGTCACGAGACAGTTTCACTGACACAATGTCATGTTCGTGACATCAAAACGGTCACTTCAGGGAATACGAGTATTAGCTTGAGAAGCTTTTTCTTGTCATTGGCATACAAGCAATCCTCCTAGTCCTACTACTACTACTAGTACACTGGCACTGCGTTTGTGGATCCCATTGTATTTGACATTATACTACAGGAAGAGTGTCTCAGTCGTGGAGTTCACATAATTATCACAGGGATAAAAATACATTTCTCATGAAATAAAATAATAATTGATGATAGCTAGACGATCATAATACGATTGATGCAAAGTCCTTGCAGTCCTCGAGGACTATTACGAAGTCGTTGATTACTTTTAGTGCATTCATTCAAGCAACATCAAACAAACGCGATACGCTCCTTGAAAATGGAAAAAATTCAAGCATAACGACAGAACAGCAGACCAATCGAAACAAGTAAAAGCTTCCTTACCTCAGTCATCGTCCTGCCATGTAGTTGGACAGCCTTTTGACACGGTGGTACAGGCAGCTCTTGTCCAGTCAAACAGGGGTATCCTTGTGGCGTCGAACGAAAGAGAGTGTCAGTGTATCTGACTCGTCAGATTGCAACTGTGCTGAACTTTTCTCTTTCTCCGCTTTCTGCTTTCATCCCTCGCTCTGATGAAACCGTTCAAACGTCTTACTGGCAGCAATGGCCAGCCAAACAGGGGATCCTTGTGGCGTCGAACGAAAGAGAGCGTCAGTGTACCTGACTCGTCAGATTTGAACTGTGCTGAACTTTTCTCGTTCTGCAATTTCTGCTTTCATCCCGCGCACTGATGAAACGTCTTCAGAGAACCACAAGACGCTTTCCAGATTTGATTTTGAACGTCTCCTTATCCTCCTTGGTTACATCGAGACAGATTACTGTCAGCAACTGCACAGCAGAATTGGCAGCCATGGCTGAAGTGAAGAAAGGAATGCGCTGCCACGAGGCAAGCAAAACTGAAAATGTGTTTGTTCTCTTTCGGGCACAACACACAGGACGGCGTGACTGGGTAAACTGGACTCCTGGACTGTGAATAGGGGACTTGTAGAAAAAGTGTACTCCTTATAGGGGATTGCGCGGCAGGATGAAGCTGATCAAAACTGAGGGGACTCCTGGACTCTGTATAGTGGATTTTGGACCAATGGACTCTATATAGGGTGCTGGACATCATATAGTGCATGGACTCTATACTGAGTCCTACATATAGACTCGGATAGAGAGCCAAGGATAAATTTATGGAAAAGAAAAAAGGATCAAGGAACTACACATTACGCTATAATGTTCACTAACACCACCAGTTACTAAACAATCAGCTCATGCGATAACATTGCACCCTCCTATATTATTTCAATAACTTAGAACCTTCCAAGTTGGAAGATTGCAGGAGTGCGCATCCAAGATGTGCTAGAGCTGTTAGCCAGTTAGTTGTAGAACGTCAGTACCGTCGGGCAGTGTCGTACAATCTTATCACATGAGCTGATTGTTTAGTAACTGGTGGGGTTAGTGGACATTATAGCATAATTTGTAGTTCCTTGGTCCTTTCCCATAAATTTACAGTTTAAATCAAAGTTTGAAGACAGTAGGAAACCCAATCTTTGCACCGTCTTTTCACTCCAAATATGTTGCTTTTATTCCGAAGCGACCGCATTCACTCAATTGTTTCTGAAAGTTGAGGACGCCAATGTGATGAGGAAAGTTACCGGCAGAGGTTGAGGAGCAGATGGCGATGTGTACTGTTTTTACAGAGCACATATGAGCCAGAGCGTGCTAAAACATGACCACAGCTTTTTTGGAAAAAGTCGAGATAATCGCGATTTGAATTCCGCGGCAAAAAATACGAAGTGCAGTGCAACGCGAGTCGCTGTTGTTGTTCTCCTCGGTCGACTGGACTGTTCTGGATGCAATTCTTTGTTGCAAGTGAGTTTATTTGTTTGAGTTTGTATTCCATGTTGCGCTGAGTCGCCTAAAACTGATCGTCATCGATGTATCGACGGAAGAGCCTAGTAGTAGTAATGTACTGCGGAGCGGAAGAAGACGATATCATCGCACTCCATGCGCAGGATAAAATATTTTGAGGATTCGGGTCGGAAACAGAAGGAAGACGATGATGGCTACAGCGACGAGACATTTGAGGGCGACACTTTCATCGAGCGTAAATGAATTGATGCTGGTAGTCCCACGATCTGCAGTGACGAGGAATTCTACTCTAATGACAACCTGGCAAGCGATTGGCATCGACACTGACTTGGGAGGTGAGTCGGCCGATGATTTGGCCAGAATGGACATCGCTGCACATATCCGGGACAATGCCAGTATTGGTTGCAAGTGCAAAAACAATCAATGGACTCTGCTGCTCCCTCAACTTGCTCAAGTCGATAATTTGAGTATCCTTATGCGGAACATCGCTAGCACGAGCAGTAGGCAGCGAAAGCAGTACTCTCTGGCGAGCAGAGAAAACCGTGTGCAGATGGGCTTTGGTGTGGGGAATATGAGTGTGACGTCGAGTATGTTGAGGAAGACTGTGTGCAGCAGTGTATACTGTATATCTGAAAGTACAGGTGGAGTGTGATGGAGAGGACGTGGAGTGCCAACTTCTTCGGCCATCTACAGATGCTGACCGTGTTTTCGCTGGCGGTTCTCCAGTGGTGCTCCAATCAGGAGGTATTTCGGACACCCAGCTCAGCTGCCTATAGAAACTTTGGATGTGGCGGAGTACCTGTCAGCTCATGCTATAAGACTCTGGACAGAGGACCTGACCCGGAAAGGATGAACCAAGGGACATATCAACTGTGTGCCAAAATGACAATCCCATTGCTGTACATAGAATTTCACCATTTCAACAGTGCTGCATACAGTCGTCCCTCTCTAATCCGGCACCTTTTGCTACGGCGTTTTCTGCTGGATTAACGAGGGTGCTGGATTAAGAAATCCTGCCCTCTGACCCGGCCCTACCCAATTGCATGCATGTATCATACGACAAAACGCAGGGTTTTTCCGTGTCGACCCCAGTATTTGGTGCACGGCTTTATATTCTCAACTTTTCTCCAGGAATATACACAGTGATAAAGTAAAACAGAGAACATGTTCACATGTATACGTACTCTTGCACACACACGCACAGTCGATTCACGACTGCCGGATTATGAAATCAAACTACGTGCAGTTTGAGCGATTCGCTTCAAAAAGTCACTGCCGGAGGCGGAATTCAAGTGCCGGATTAAGATGTAGGAATTGAACGAAAAAAATCGGTTTCGTCAGAAAGTGCGCCGGTTGGCAAGGGTTCCAGATAAACAAGTGCCGGATTAGAGAGGGACGACTGTATAATACCATTGTACCAACACTTAGACATGTCCGATCAATCCAAAACTTTCAGACAGTGAACATTAGGTGTGTTTGATCATTTTTGAACAAAAATTGAAAATCGAATTTTTGGTCTGTGGTCATATTTTAGCGTGCTCTGGCTCATATAGCCTTATGGAGCAACAGGTCTAATAGACCAATCCCGAAAAGATTGTCTGGGTTCGAAAGGGGGCATGTCAACTGAGAGTGCACTGTACAACACATACATGGCACTACCTGATCAGCATGCGGCACAGGACGTGTTTGATAGTTCGCGTGTGAATGCGAGGGTAAGTACACGATTTTCTCGTTAGTTGCATGCAAGAGAGACGATGCGACAGAAAGCGAAGCCCTTTGTAGTTTTCTCTCTCGCACTGGTAATGGTCTGCTGTTGGAGTTGAAATGCTTAGAGAGAATCCTTGTTTCGCTCTTCTGCGTAGTGTGAAGAGGTCAACGAACATGTAGAGCTTACTTTGATGAAGTAGGCAAGGCTGTGAGCGCTGTGGCTCAAAGCGATAGGCCCTAAATCTTACGAGATATTTCGAGTGCTATTGTTTGTTGGGAGCGCTTCGTCTTCGATGAGTCCTGCCTCTTTCCTGGCAGCTGCCCTCCTATAGGACCAACCATGAAGTGACTGTACTCATCTGCAGCCGATCAATGTTATATTGCACAAGAAGATGTCGTTTTGGCCAAGCCAGTGCCCCGCCAAAGACCATCGCCGTGTCACACCGTCGGAACGAGTTCATGATGAGAAACATCATTCGCGCGAGCGTGATGAAGAACTATTTCGAAAGACAACATAGTCTTTACCCCCGGGACGACAACTATGTGCACGTCCTGCAAGGGGAGAATGTGACCAGCGACATCAACGAAGACGACGGCAGTATTTCGGAAACCTGGAGTCAGCGGAGGTCGTCAAGCTCCTCCGCGACCCGGTACATATACAGTATAGGTGACATGTCGACACGAGCGTGCGGAAACACAGCATACACTGTAGTAATGTTGCGAGAGTTTGCGGAAGGAGTCCAAGTCGGGAAATCCATCAGCTCCAAAAGCTACCTGTAGGTGGGCGATGAGACTCCAGCTTCAGACTACACAGTCAGGACTAGTAAATAGTTGAACTTTGTGAAGCAGCAGATCGAGAAGTAACGTTAGTTAGCTGAAATCGTAGCTGTTGCAGTATGTCGGCGCTATGTAGCTTGCATGTTTTACCGAGAGTCGATCGCCACGCGAATGTTTCTCTCCTCACCGAGAGCTATCTGGCCTCCAAACTCCGTCAGGGTCTGCCAAAGGTACCGTAGGTCCTTTGACTAGCTGCTGGCAGGACTCCATCAAATCCTTTAGCTTCAGCTCGGCGAGCAAAAGTCTCTCTCTCCTCCGCCATGAGCTGACACACACAAACTGAATACAAAACGATGCACTTCACACGTGCTGGCTTGCACGCGTGCCCCCTTTCATGAACCCAGACAATCTTTTCGGGATTGGTCTATGGAGTCACGTCTTCAGCCCTATAAAGAAAGAATGGATGTGCACACAGGCCTATACAATAGAAAACCAACCGTACATGTAACTGTTACATGACGCGCAGGCAGGCCTATGACACAGCGAACAGGCTATAGTATACAGTTCTGGCAACTGAAATTCGATCCCTGAGCGGTGCGCTTACATTCCAAAGACCCAGCACGGGATTGTAAAAATACGAAATAGAGACCGCTAGAATGTGAACGCACCCACCCCTCAGGGGGTCGGATTTCACTTGCCAGCATTGAACTTACCCGATCTATGCGCACTGTACTGCCTTCAATGTCAACATTGATGAAGCGTGATATGTAGTCGGTATCAAACCTTCCGGAGATGCGAATTGCACTGTTGTTCACCCGGAGAGGCATTGACAGAAGTCCTCTGCAGGAACACACAGTGCAACTACCACGCGTCAGATTATTCATTGCATGTTCGGATGTGGCGAAAGGGATGTCGGCCTTTGGCCTCTGGTTGGTGGATCGGATCTATCCCCCCCCCCTCCCCCCTCCCCCCTCCCCCCCCCCCGCCGTTTAGGAGCCGCTTCTGACACCTGATGCTCGGGTGGTGGCGTACAAGCGGAAGCGGAAAGGTGGTTCTTGACCCGCCCTGTAGGCGAACCCGCACAATTCTTTAAATGTTCATCGCACATGCAACTGTGAAGAAAACCGTTCCACGGCTAGTTCATGTACATGTGTACAGTCCACACATGGCCAGAGCTAGGGACCGGCGGATTCTGCTCGAAAAGGTGGCAGATTCTGCTCGAAAAGCAGTGAAATTGGCAGAACCATACAAACCTTATGGTGGGCAATTCCTCGAATTCTGCTCCATTTCTTTATCCACATACCAAATATGCATGAAACTTCCCAGAAAAAGTACCGAATTCTGCCAATTTTTCTGCCAGCAGAATCCGCCGGACCCTAATGGCAGAGCACTTTCATTTTCCCTGTTGGTTCAGTACATAGAGTGCTGCGTAACGAAATCCGATTCAGTGGGTCAAGTTAGTTTACGCTCTGCATCAGATCGCATCCGAGTGTTCGTAGCATCAGGGCCCAGCATGGCATCTACTCGATCGAGCGGATGTCACTGAGAAGCGGTGTAGTATTCGGCTGGCTGGTGCAATCTAGCTGTAACTGACACGCGTTCTAGTCTGTACATACCCGAGGTATCAAAGAAATACGGCAGTCTCTCCCTTCTAGCCTCTATTCCCATAAATTCCTTGGCTTGTTTGGAAGCTAGGAATCTCCTCTATCCACCTGGATGCTCTTGGGAAAAAAAGACAGCCACAACAGGGCAACCTGCATGGAAAGCAATCGTCGACCTCCAGTGATAATTTCTATTTGTGCATTTTTGAACCTCAAACTAAGCACTGTATATCTGAAGTCAGAACAATCATATTTGCTGGTTTGAGGGAAAGATGCAAACAGGAAAACTCTGAAGAAAAAATTGACTGTCACCACCAGGACTCGAACCAAGGACCTTTGCTTGAGGCCAGCGATGCCCTAACAACTGAGCTATGAAGATGCAAACAGGAAAACTCTGAAGAAAAAATTGACTGTCACCACCAGGACTCGAACCAAGGACCTTTGCTTGAGGCCAGCGATGCCCTAACAACTGAGCTATGAAGATGCAAACAGGGAAACTCTGAAGAAAAATTGACTGTCACCACCAGGACTCGAACCAAGGACCTTTGCTTGAGGCCAGCGATGATCTAACAACTGAGCTATGGTGTAGCTGTCATCCAAGCAGAGACTGGCGTCCAAATTTTCTTCAGACGTCGAAACGCACGCTTCCTGTTTGTTTGTTTGTGTGAAGTTCTATTTTACATCGCAAACCAAACCGGCATTGATGCCCAATATTATGATGGCCATAGAATAAGAACTGAAATGTGGCTCTATAAAGTACGAGCTGTGCTGGAGAATAGAGAGGTTGTGCACAACGAAAATTCGAATGATGTCGACCGTCCGCGTTCGAGTAACGAAAGTTGCTGCGAAGATCCATCCAAATGCGACCGAAACAGAGCAGAAAATGTTTTTCGTAACGTTGAGTACTAAAATACTGATAGTTTACAACTCCCTGTCTTGACTCTCCGAGTCTCCGTACCCTTGCGCGTGACATGTAAACCTAGTATGAAGAAATTTCCACGTTAAGCGCAAACTCACGATTTACGAATACTTAGCTTTTCTCGTTAAAATTATTCGTTACGGCGCTACGGAATTTTCGTTGTGCGCAATCTCTCTATTATGACTGTGAATCCACACCGGGCGGGTATGACACAGCCCTCACTTTAACCCACCCACTTGACGTACAAACTAGCAGCCTATCCGTAGGGTGGGGAGATATGTCCCATAAATCGCTTCCAAGGGACATGGAACGCCGAAGCTTGAAGGCCAAAGTCACGTCTGAACGTGAATTTCCATGGTGATGGAGTTGTGTTTCGACTGGCAAGTGCACAATCGCTGATCAAACATGCCCGAGTCGTAGAAACATGGTAACGTTGATGCTATCATACACAAAGTGCAGGTTACCAGTCATAGCTAATAGTTATAAGTTTATAACTAAACCTTCACTCATTGCACAGAGCCTACCTGAACTTGTTCGCGCCCGTGAAGTTCAGCTGAAATCCCTGAGCGACTATCATTTGCCTGTCAGTCTCCTGTGCGTTGTGAAACTCGCAGTTGGACACCTCAGCCAGAGTGTTCCGACACACTCTGGTGCTGAAAAGAGGAGAGAAGTGGCACACTAGACTCAGGAAATGAGGCTTTTCGCTGGCGTCGACATCATACTGCGTAGCGCCAGCACAATCCCAGTCCAGGAACTTTGTTCGCCATATCTTCACACGAACAGTGATGGCACTTGTTCCGCTTCGGTCTTGCGGCGTAAACAAGCCCTGCTGCTGCGAGGACAAGATGTCGTCCGAAAAGATCTTCCGAGCAGGAACGGGGGAGAAGTAGCCTTGCGTGGTGATGATGCGAACTACATCTCGGTGGCAAATGGAACGAAACGCACAAAGCGATACCTCCACCAGCTGGTGAGGAATGGTGTCTTGTTCGGTTATGTTCTCACTTAGGCTGTGCTGTTTGGATACGGTGTTCACTTGGATTATGGCGTTGTTTCCCACCGGCCGAACATTCCGGGTATCCATGAATACAGTTCTAAGAAAGCGTACCTGAAACTGGGCTTCGAACGTCTCGATGTCGACAACATTGGCCGTAACACAGTGCGCATTGCACGATGGAGATAAGTCAGCATAAGGCGACGCACCCAACAGCACTCTACTAGCTTTCAAGAGTACGCTAAATGGGGATGATGACATTTTGTGCCGAAAAGCTCCTTTTCTCTCCTTGCTTCTTCTCACAAACAGCGACACGCACGGGTGCAAGAAAACATTTGACCTTTGCACCAGAAGATGACCCTGCTCGATATGAAAGATCGCGGCAGATAAGGATTCATTATCGCATGTAATGCTAGTGGTAAAGTCTACTCCTGAGAAGGTGACGTCAACGCCGACACGAAAAAGCTCCTCCAGAGACGAGTCGAAATTGGCGTCCAACACGGCTTTGGGACACGGCCATTCATCGTACACAAACGCGGCACTGGTGATGCGCTGCTTGGGGAACATGAGGTCAATCGTGCCAACACCAGTTTCGACGCGACATCTTCGCTCCTCGTCTGGAAGGAGGTGGAATACCACCGAGCCGTTGTGTCTAGATTTGTGCACACGCTGAACGGCGTGTTGCACCGACCGACAGGGATTTGTTCGGACGATTCCACAGTGCCTTGGAGGATTTGTAGGCGATGACCGATTGCCAGGCGATGGATCGTTGTAACTGCCTACGTAGATCACCATAGTGCGGTTTATCACATTAGTGGAAGGTCGTGGCGAGGTGGACCGGGAAGGTCGTGGTTGACCCCATATCAATAGAGCACTCGCAACAAGAATACATCCAGAAAGCGGAAGACTTGATGGTCGACAGGATAGCTTCATGATTCTCAATCAGCCAAACAACTGGGTGTTCCACGACGTGACTGATCAACCTAGTGGACTGTAAAGACCTCAGACGCACAGTGACTTTCAGCCCATCGTGGCACCACAAACTCCAGGCAACCGGTAGTATACATCTACCCAACAGTCTTCATTTTCACACAAACTTCAGCTGTGTAGATCTACGGCCGTCCACGCATGACCACCATTGTTCAGGTCTAGTTGACCGGTGTAACGTTACGCGCGCGATCTGCGTGTTGGCGGGGGTCGGGGGGAGGGGGGGGGGGGCAGATTACTGCACATCAATCTACACATAACACTTCAATCTTCATGTTCAAGAGTCACAACATAGTAATTGGTCTTATAATTATGTGTTCCGGTCAATACTGCGTGTAGATCTACTGTAGAAGTCTGCCGTTGCATAATGTAGTGCGCAAGTAGTCCACGACATTGTGGTAGAAGCGTAAAGTAACAGTTGGTTCACACGGATGGAGCATTGTAGCTGTGGAAGCCAGATGTCCCAGACCTTCGACATTGTGTTTCCTGCACCATAAAATTTGAGCGCGCGCGTGCGCGCGTGTGTGTATGTCTATGTGCGTGGGGGGGGGGGAGCATGGAGAGGAAGGAAATGGGCAGGGTACAAACACTCGCGTTGGGTGCTGAACCAGTAGCCAATTAGTATCACTCTGTTGGAGAACTTCCTCTCTCCGCCACTGCGCCAGACACTCCTCCTACAAGACGTGCAATTATGTGTTACAATATCTGCATTCACACGCACGCACGCATGCTAACAAATATCAACAAACATACACACCTTCACTTATAAGCATGAACGCACACCGTGACGGACGTGCATGCAGGCTGCACGAACATACACACTCACGCGTGCGCGCACGCGCACACATGAACATTCACGCGAATGCAGGAGACAGGATCTACAACAAGGACGCTGTGTTGCTAAGACTTCACAGTTTCACACACACTGCGCGATCCTCATACAGTCCTGACTGCGGCTGGGCTCTATGTTAGTATAATCATAGTGGTAGCTACAAGTGTATGAGTCAGCGTACATGTACATGTAGATCTAGTTCTACATAAACTAAAGCACAAGTACAGCTATTGGCTGAATGTCTTCCAAGTTCCCACCCCCGGCCCACTATCCCTTTCCCACCCGCTGCCTTGTTGCCACTAATACCGGTATAGTGCTTTCTTGTTCGTTTGGACTTCTGATTTTGTTTACAATGATCACATTCACAGGCAAAAAACCAAAAATTGCATAGTGGGAGCATAGTGATGGTGCGGATTTTTGCCCTCAGCTCAGCCGACCTGAGGTCTCGACGTCATGCCATGGGGACCCTCGACGTCATTAAAAAGATACGTACAAAACAAACCAGTTATTACTATATTAGACAGTTTCGGAATTCCAAATTTCGTGGTAGAGTCCGACTGCTACTGCTAGCTGGACTCTGGAGTAGTGGAGACTGATGCCATTTCAGTCAACGACGGATCGACCAAAGCCAGTTTGTAGAACGCCAGCTCACGGAACGACACTACTTCGAACGACAACTCACAGTGAGACGTGTCACAGAAAAACATTATTTCACTGAAATAACATTCACAGATAGGTACACGCAGCAATAGCTTTGACCAGAATTACTGATCAGAGCCGACATGTCGACAGTGTCAGGGTTTACATTGGCATCCGTTTCAAGCACAACTTGCAGCAGTTTCTCGTATGTATCCTGTCATGCATTAGGTAGATATAAGTTATTCCTTGAGGTGCCAAATCGTCAAAATGAATCTGATACGTGCAACACATTCATCAGAGTATAATAAAGTCCGCCCAACAATGCACATTATAACGGCAGGATTTGGTGACAAGTCAATGCGATAATTATGATTGTATTGAACATTTTGAAACTCGGGTATTGAGCCAATAATAAAAGTAGAAAGGAAAAGGACATATGGAAACGAGTTAAGAGTAACTCTCCACCACTGTAACTAGATACTATATTATACAGTCAGACTGTATAATAATTATAGTATCTAGTTACAGTGGTGGAGAGTTACTCTTAACTAAATATAGTATCTAGTTACAGTGGTGGAGAGTTACTCTTAACTCGTTTCCATATGTCCTTTTCCTTTCTACTTGTATTGAACATTATTATTATTAGGCCATCCAGAATTAATTCGTTGTTTCGGGTCACCCGACCGACCGTCTTTTTTCACCCGACCGCAAAATGTTTTTTTTTTATAGTGGATGCAAATGTACAGACTAGACTATGTACACACGCGACCCTAATAATAGCAGTCCAGATATCGCCCTCAGAAGCAGTCATCAATGGTCATGGCTAGCCAAATGACAGGTGCTTGGTGATGACGTTGTCTTCTGTCTCCGATCCACAATCGGTCCTGAAACAGCATCAGCTCCGCCATCTTGTCGCTATTTACAGAAGTTTTCAAGGTGAGAGCTGCTCGTCAGACTCGTTTGCCAGCGAGGCCAAGATCTGGTCCTGGATCATCGAGGGGACCTGGATCTGATGGGACCATGACCAGATGAATACGGAGCATCAGCAAATCGAATTTTCGATTTGATTATTCGAATGGCAAAAAGAAAATCAGAGAGAAAATTCTAATGAAAAAGAGGTTCAGCATGTAGCGCAGTCCAGTATTTTCGAATCGAGTTTTTTTTAGCTTGAGCAGTTGACAATGGTTGAGGACTGGGATTTTGAGATGTGCAATGAACGGAGTTGCTGTTGTTTCTCATTGCCTTTGGGGATGACGCGAAGCGGCGGATGCTTCATCCGATTCAGGCTATTGGCGATAGGATCTCTCTTGGAGACCCCTTGAAAAGGCGGATCTCGGCCCAGCTCCTCCGCTATCCCTTGCATATCAGGAGACCCGCGGACGAATAGGTGAGGGTGGGCCCTACACTGCCTCAGCAGAATGAGATCCATGGTAAGGTCGACCCTCAAATATTTGGCACACTTTGAGTTGCCCTCTCCCTGCGGGGAACTCACCATAGACGCAGATGCCGAGACAACGCCAGCAAGGCTACTGCAGTACTGGGAGCAGGAGGCATACCGGGCTGGTAGTTGGTGACAAAGCCATGATTTCAGGATACTTGAAATGAAACAAAATGCACACTTGATAAAACTTTTCACAGTTCGAGAGAGAGGAAAGCGTCAAGATTGACAAGAAGTCCGGACTAGTACTTTAGTAAGAACTAGTAGCTACATGCGCAAGAATGAGTACTCGTAGTGCGCCGTGTACTAGAGCACGCGCGGAGCATTCGAAAAGTATTCGAAAAGTATTTTCTGTTTGCGGGCATTTTTCAGTCGAACAAAGCCCTAGTTTCGACTGATTGAGTGCTTTTCGTGACGATTCTCGAATTTCATTCGAATATTCGATTTGCTGATGCTCCGTATTGTCTACACTACAGTCAGATTTGATCGACTGGCTAGATGGACAAAAGATATTCGATGTACTCGAAGTACATGTATGCACATGGACGTAACCAAAATAAAAAATAAAATAAAATAAAAAATAAACCCGACCGACCGACCCTGGTACGGATGAGTGAAGTGACCCGAAACAACGAATTAATTCTAGGTGGCCTTATTATTATTTATTCATATTTTGATAGGGCAATCCCCACAGACTCAAGGTCTTCTTACGGGGTACCCTAAGACATATTGCCTTGAGCACAACGTCGTTAGCTGTTGTGTACATCATCTCTATGTGATGCCCACGGTGAATTTGATTTTGACGAGAAAATATCTATTGATCTGTGGCGCTCTTGTCCGTAGGCTTCTAATAGTTCTTGAAACAAAAGAAATGTGCAAAATCCTCTATTACAGTCAGACCTCGTTTATCCGGTGCTCTTTTATCCGGATCCCTCGCCATCCGGAAAAAAATTGCTGGTTACCGATTTACAGCATATGCCATGCATACAGTGTGTGTGTTCGATTATCCGGTTCCCTCGCCTATCCGGATATTTTTGTGGAAAACGGATGTGTGCGGTTATGCGAGGTCTGAGTGTATTAGTATCTGCAAATTACGCCGGCTACAGTAGTTACATGATGCATCGAAACAGGCATTTGCTTCTGGGGGAAGGATTCACAAAAACAACAACATTGAATGTGATAAATGATGAGGTGTACATGGCTCAATGTGACTGCAGATCTGTACAGCCGCTATACTCAAGTGCCAGAGGCAACTGGCAATGTCTGAAAGATGATTCCAGTTCAATATACTGTTCTTCTTCTATGCTTGGTAAAGTGCTGTAACGCCAACACTCCTGTAATTTACAAATGTAATTGTCCTCCTAAAGGTCGCGTGCGGGATGAAAAGATGTTATAGTATAGAGGTTACTAGCATGCAAATGATACCATGGCGGTGAACTAGCGGAAACGCTTAGTGACACAAAGTACATTTGTATGCAGAGCTGGTTGGTGTAACCGCTTTAATACGGGAGCTAACTAGCTAAGCACAGAGTGAGTCTACAGTTTCGCTTGGCCTAGCGCATCACCGAGCCGTGACTTTGCCACAGCTCTCAACGGATGATGGAACCGCACAGGCTCTATACATTTCCACTGAGTCTCATGCACGCGAACCGTGAGCTTGTTTCAACTGCAGTACGTCTCAATCGTACATTCTCACGATAGCGGAAGTGCAAAATAATTGATAGACTGTGGCAGAACCTGTTCATTCGATGGCCTGCTTTCGGTCCTCAAAGCATTTCTGATGCACAATGCTGGCTCCGTGTTCGGCATACTCCTCCTTGGAGACACACATCTTCTGAAAGGTAGAACGCCTGGCCGTAATGCAGCCACCGTTCCACACATCGTGCTTCCTGTCCGCTGGCGCAATGATCTTCACGTCCATGGAGCTGGGTGCGAGGGCTGACATTTCCTTTTGCACCCGTTCAGCGAAACCCGGAAACATGGTACTACCGCCAGACAAGACAATACTGGAGTAGAGGTCCTTGCGGATGTCCACGTCACACTTCATGATACTATTGTAGATCTCCTCGTGGATTCCAGCCTGCTCCGTGCCCAGTAAGGATGGCTTGAAGAGAACTTCAGGGCTGCGGAAACGCTCATCGCCGACTGTTATAATATGGCCATCCGGCAGCTCATAGCTCTTCTGCAGCGTGGAGCTGGAAGACACCGTGGCCATCTCCTGCTCAAAGTCCAGGGCAACGTAGGCAAGCTTCTCCTTGATGTCATGGGCGATTTCACGGCCGTCTCTTGTCGTGCGCGGTAAACCACGTTCCATTTGAATCCGCATTAAGTATTCAGTGATATCTCTGCCCGCTATGTCGATCTTGGAGCTCAGCTGGGGAAGGGAGTGGCCTTCATAAATGGGTACAGCGTACGACGCACCGTCACCAGAGTCCATGACTATCCCCGTGGTGCGGCCAGACGAGTAGAGAGAAAGAACCGCCTTGTTGGATACATACATGGCGGGCACGTCGAATGTCTCGAACATGATCTAAAGAAGACAGCGTGAACACAGCACAGAGCAGAGTAGGAAAAGCATCAATATCTACTCTATGTACACATGATGTATAGAGGTCAGGTCAGTTTGTTTGCTGCAAGCCGTTCTGATCTCTGCGTTAGAAAGCCCTGTCTGGCAGGCTCTTGAGCACTGTGTGAGCAGTTGTAGCCAGGGTATTGGGCACTGTGTGAGCAGTTGTAGCCAGGGTATTGGGCACTGTGTGAGCATTTGTAGCCAGGGAGTTGAGGACTTTGTAGCCAGGGCAGTTAGGACTGTGTAAACAGTTGTAGCCAGGGTGTTGAGGACTGTGTGAGCAGTTGTAGCCAGGGTGTTGAGGACTGTGTGAGCAGTTGTAGCCAGGGCAGTTAGGACTGTGTAAACAGTTGTAACCAGGGAGTTGAGGACTGTGTGAGCAGTTGTAGCCAGGGCAGTGAGGACTGTGTGAGCAGTTGTAGCCAGGGCAGTGAGGACTGTGTGAACATTAGAAATCAGGGTATTGAGCAGTACGCTAGCGGTGGAAGTCAGGGTATTCCGCACTTTGCAAAAAGTGGAAGTCACCTAGGCTGCATGGCTACTTGTAATAATTAGAGCCCAAGTGAAAAGAATGGTCCCTCAATACTGGCGTTCTCAGATAACTGTGGTCACTTATTACATAGATTTTCTGGTTGCTGTACAGTCAAACCGGGGTTTGACAACAGCCCGTGAATAACACTGCTACGTACAATAGCCGATCTAGTAGCATAGAGTGGTGGTCTGACAAAGTCTTGACTAAAATCTACACTTTTTTTAATGATAAAATTTGATAATACATGAAGTGCATAGAAGCCATGTCCGAGAAATAAGTTTCAACAAAAAGCTATGAATAAAGCAACTGATGCCGACATAATACCATAACCCTTTCAGTGCCAAGGACGAGACAACTCGTCCTACAGACCCCCACGCGATTGGCCAAGGGCGAGATATCTCGTCCTCGTAGTGCGCACTACTATATCTCACCGGCCATGCACTACAATCTAGCTTGGCCGATTGTGGCTCTTCGAGGGGGAACTAGGGGTTTTCCCCTACTGAATAAGACCTCACTCGCCGTGTTTGAGTAAGTAAGGGCGCGGGAGCATACATTCAGAGCGCTCGGGCGAAAAACATATTTCGATTCAGAAACAATTAGATTGACGGAACGTACTTTAGGTCTCTCTAGCTTTCACTCAGACACGTCGAGTTGCCGCATGTCGGTTGAAGAGGTGCTCCAGTCCATCATGGACTCGTACATTGATGACTGGAGCTGCGATAGTGAAGGCGATGACTCGGATGCGGACATAGCCGTCCGCGATCGTGACGGAACAAATTTTGCGGACGAGTCCGCCGTGGTCGATGTCGTACCTACTGCCATGGTTGCCTTGGACGGCCCTGAGGATATCGGAGATGTCGATGTCGAGTTTGAGCAGGGCGCAGCAGCACAAGCTAAGCCAGCGAGGGACAACAAGTGGGTTTGAGTTGATACTAGTTTGAAAAAAAAATCAGATTTTTTATGAAAATGGCCCGGCCAACAGCGTACATCTGGCCTGGCACTGAACGGGTTAATGAACACTTTTGTTCTATTCATAGTTTTGTTGAAGTACATAAATTTCTCGAAGTGCACATATGAAATGCATTTACCTGTGTCATCTTCTCCCTGTTGGTCTTGGGGTTCAATGGAGCCTCGGTGAGCAATACTGGATGCTTTTCGGGCGCAACACGCAACTCATTGTAGAACGTATGATGCCAGATCTAGAAACAAGAACACAGGTAACGGTGTTGCAAGAAAAGGACGCAGACAATGACCATGTCCATGCTACGTGAGTTGTTCTGGTCCGGGAAACTATGCACATTTCACGAAGAAGAGAAAGAACATGTTTATGCATGTGTGTTTATCTGTGTGTGTGTGTGTGTGCGTGTGTGTGTGTGTGTGTGTGTGTGTGTGTGTATTTAGTCTTTCCAAACTTTCAAGAGTGCATCATAAGGGATAAGGAAGGTTACTACGATCACGACAAGGCTATAGGGGAGTTACGCTATTCTTCTCAAAAGAGAAGTGCACAAAACCCATTATATTAATTGGCATCGAAGCTGAACGTGGCCTCTAGAATCTACGGTGCCACTCTCCTGTAGTGGATGCACATTCCACTGTTTGTCATTGTATCCTTTTTATGTGACATGTTTGAATTCATCCGGCCACGCTGTCCGGCATGCCAGTTGTACGGTACGCGCTTTAGCTGTACCTGGCTTTTCCTCATCTCTCTATCATTCTCCGTGTTCCCACACACTTGTGATTTGTTGTAAACGAAGCTAGTTACAAGATGTCTTTGGTGCGTTTGTAGAACCACTACATGGTGTCAGAACTGGTTTTCCCGTAGCCTTCGGTCTCGTGAGTGGTGATGGCTCATTTCAACTTTCCAGCGCCTTTCAACTTCAGCTCACCAGACCAGTGGCCAGTGTGGACACTGCGTTTTATTCCCGTAGATATACAAAAGACGTTCCTTCAGTATTGTCTGGCGCTAGCCAGGGTCCACACAGCTTTAATTTCGTTTTTGTTTGTTTGTTTGTTTGTGCCATCGGCATGCCCGGCGCTATTCCGTACCTGCCCCGTACCGTACCATCAATGTGTGTGTCTGTTTGTTCGTGCCGTCGGCATGCCTGGCGTTATCCCGTACCTGTCCCGTACCGTACCATCAAAGACAGACAGCTAGACCATGGCCACAATATTCAAATACACTCATTGCCGAAGATGCGTTGCCATGGTGCAAAAATGGCGTTGGATGGCTACGCCTGAGCGCTCGCGCTGTCATCGCAGCCCACGACACGTCTTCCTGCTGTGCTTTCTTGACAAATTATTTTGTTTCGCTTTGTCCTTGTTGCTGGAGGGTTTGATTCTTTGAGATACTGTAGAGCGATTTGGAGTTGGTCAGCCGAGAGTAGTCGTGAGAAATGGAGAAAGAACGTGAGAGAACCTGAACTGCGGATGAAGTCGCTCTGTTCCAGCGGAGGCGAGCAGAGGGTTACGATCTCAGTGCCCAGGCACGTCGCTCCTGATTATTTCGAGTGGCTCGATGTGCAAGTGGCACTCGAAACCAGCGCTGTGCAGAGTACCGATGTTCCTGCCAGTGTCGCTGCTTTAGCCGGGCTGGCGCTGGCGTCTCCAGTCCAAGCAGTAGCTAAAACCATTCCTGAACCGGTTCCAGTCGAACAAACTGTCGCTGCAGCTAGTGTTGGTGTTGTTTCTTCGCCTTCAGTGTCCGTGGGGTCAGCCGCAGTGAAATCTGGCACTGACAGCTAACCTGCCAAGAAGCGGAAAAGAACTTCAGGCAAGGGCTACTACTGTGCTGTTCCGCTCTGCAGTAATCGGTCTTTAGATATGTCACTTGCAATTCATCGTTTTCCCAGTGATGCAGAAAGGTGCAAGTTATGGCAATTTGAAATTAGGAGGGACGTGGGATCAAATTTCAAGATCACATCAAACACCAGAGTATGCAGCTCTCATTTCAAACAAGATGATTACGTCGGCAAGCTCCTGTCTGGTGAGGAGCCAGAAAGAAAATGGCTCAACCCCACCGCTGTGCCAGCCCAGTTCCAGTGGACGGCAACTTCTAAACCAGCGAGACGAGTTCTGAAGAGAAAACGTCAAGAGTCTGAGGAGCCACAAGATATTGATGATTCCGGGGTCGTTTCTGTGGTGTCTGTTCGGCTATTGACCCAGCACCGACCCCTGGTCCTGTGCAGGGTTTGCCATGTGATCACAGATATATCAGTGTAAGTGACCCGAGTGAAGTTGATGATCACATGGCTGGCCTAGAAAAAGACTTCCGTGAAATTAAAAAAGAGTACGAGAGCCTGAAGTGTTGTTCGATCGATTTAGCCAGCATCAGAAACAATCCTGACAAGTTCAGGCACTTCACCAGGCTGCCTAACTACGCAGTGTTCTCTGCCCTGTTCAAATACCTCGAACCCAAAACATAGAGGATGCAAACTTGGCGCGGCCTATCTACCCTTAGACATTTGTATGCCACTGGTCCTCAGCGATGGCCATTAGACGTTTCACCGACACTGGCTGACCATCATCATCACAGAATATGAATTTGTTCCATTAAATACTGCGTGAATGTGAAAAAGAGTGTTACATATATTCCACCGGAAATACAAGTTCTATCAACCAACCAAGTATTCCACTTAGCTCAATCTGTGCATTCAGAAATGATTTGTTCCAGTAATAATCTAACATCAGTCCAAAGTTATTATTCAGAAATGTCCAGTGTCTGCTCTAGGATTGTAGGACAGCCGGGTACACGTGTACCTGGCGCAACCATTTCAACCGGGTCGGAGCCGGGTACACATGTACCTGGCGCTGTCTCACCAGCCGAGTCACGTGCTTTAACTGGTTGGTTGGTTTATTTTAATTCGGACAATAAACGGGAACTAGGCCCAATGATATAAAGGCGAATGGATAAGCCGCATTTAGAAAAGAGAGGACAGGAATTAGAAAAGTACGAAGGAAGAAGAAGTATCTTCTGACACATACAAGCAAGACTACATGAAAACCGTTTTCATGTAGTCTTGATACAAGCCATGTAGTCAGTCCTTTCAAAGTTCGAAAGTGTAAAGTACCAACCGGGTCACAGGTGACCCAGTACTATATTTTCAACCGGGTCCAAGCGTCGCCCAACCGGGTGGATTACCCGGCTCACCCGGCGCTGGAGCAGACACTGATGTCTTGTAAGTCAATGTTTTACTATGATGACAGACCATTTTGATCTCTGCCAATTTCTGGTTTGAAGACATAAAAATGATGATTATTGATCCAGAAAGTCGTTAAAAAATCAGTGCAATCGATGACGAGTTTTCGGTTGTTTGTGAGGGGTTGAGAGGTGAGGTGGAATGAAATATTGCTTTCGTTCACAGTGTAATGTTATTATGTTTGACAAGATGATATAATTCACAAAAGTCAACAGCCATGACGAGGAAAGATCAGAAGAGAAGCCAGTCAGAAGCACGAGCGTGCATGCATACAACATGTCTGTTACGGAAGGTCCAGACAAACTCTGCATGCCATGGCTGCAAAAATAATCCAGCGCAAACAGCAAAGCCGCGACATGTGAACAGCACTCTCATTATCCGGAAATGCACTGGCAGTATCCACTGTAGCACACTGGATCGTCCCTGCTGATGCAGACGATACACGTGTAGGCTTGCTTTGATGTATCTTGTGATGGCCAGCATTTCGCACGGACGAAACAAAAGTTTGTTCCACCTGCAAACAGGTTTCCCTCCAAATGGTGAAGGTGGTGCTCATCAAATAATTGGTACGCACGAAGTTGCTTGTAGCACTGCAAGCTCTCCTTGTCATAATCTTTGTCCGGGGAATTTTCCATAATTATAGTGCTTGACAGCCTCAGTAATGAAGAAAGGGAGTTTAGTTAGGCGAGATAGAGATCAGCCAGATGCTATGTGTGAAAAGCTTGGTAGCTTCTTGTACGCTGCCATTACTGGCTTTGGTAATGCAGGCTTGTCTGCCTCCTCGTCTGGAACCCCTTCGCCAGCAGTACTCAAGCGGAAATGTTCACAGATGAGAAGGTAAAGATCACGTCTGGATACACGCCCTTGGTAGGGAATACTGTCTTTGCAAAGTTGGCGCAGCCCTAGCATGCGTAAGCGCATGATATCCCCACAAGAGGTGGGAGCGCGTAGGACAGAGCTGGACAGAAGTGAATGTGTGGCCCCTTCAGTAGCAGCATCAGCTGCTGTTCGCACTGGCCCTGAGCGGCGGGTTTTACAGCAGGTCCAGGAGTGGTTTCAGCTACTAGGTATACTGCTTGCACTGGAGACGCCAGCGCCAGCCCGGCTGAAGCAGCGACACTGGCAGGAACATGGGCACTCTGCGCAGCACTGGTTTCGAGTGCCACTTGCACATCGAGCCCCTTGAAATAATCAGGAGCGACGTGCCTGGGCACTGAGATCGTAACCCTCTGCTCGCCTCCGCTGGAACAGAGCGACTTCATCCGCAGTCCAGGTTCTCTCACATTCTTTCTCCATTTCTCACGACTACTCTCGGCTGACCAACTCCAAATCGCTCTACAGTATCTCAAAGAATCAAACCCTCCAGCAACAAGGACAAAGCGAAACAAAATAATTTGTCAGGAAAGCACAGCAGGAAGACGTGTCGTGGGCTGCGATGACAGCGCGAGCGCTCAGGCGTAGCCATCCAACGCCATTTTTGCACCATGGCAACACAACTTCGGCAATGAGTGTATAGGCCTTTCAAATGCAAGATCATAACGTGAAGCAACTTTGAAGAATGAGTATGTATGCGAAGTGTATCGGGGGGAATGCATGCAGGGCGATAGTGCTGGTTCGAATCCTAGGTTATGTCTCGAAAATAATATGGGGGAAATGAATTTTTTTTAACATCCCTTTCCTTTTTTTGCCTAGGTCATCAAGGTGGCAGACGGTGTCCTAATGCCCTCGAATGACAAGAGAAAGTTTATTTCTTTCGCTCAGGGCCCTACGCCATGCTTTTTTGCCTAGCTCATCATGCATGTTATTCAAACTGATGGAGACTTTTTGCAATACGATGATGTAGCCGATCAGTTCGCTGTGGTGTGGTTGGGCATTGTAGCATTCATGGTCGACGTAAAACACTACAGCCAATCAATGGAAAAAAACATTTCCATCAGTTCTAATAACATGCACGATGAGCTAGGCAAAAAAGCATAGCGTAGGGCCCTGAGCTTCCAAGCTTTCTCGTTCGTTTTCGTGCCGCAACCAAATTGAGTTCAAACCCTGAAGAAACCCATGTCGCCACTTTACTATAATTATTCTCTCGGACCCAGCGCCGACTCCGCCTTCGACTACCAACTCGGACTATCGGAGGACGATAAGAAGAAGTTTGACGACCTCGCAGGTCAGGTCCCACTCGGTCCCGACTCTGCCTGTTTGACCACCTTCATCACACCGTTCGGTAGATTCTACTTCAAGCGACTGCTATTTGGCATCACATCAGCACCTGAGATCTTCCACAAGCGTCTCACCAACTTTCTGGACCATCTCCCCGGCGTGTTCGTCTACATGGACGATGTCATTGTCTCTGGCCGTACACGAGAAGAACACGACCGTAACCTAGCTGCCGTACTAGACATCCTGTGGAAAGCCAACGTCACGCTGAACATGACGAAATGTCACAAGTGTCAGGCCGAAGTGAAGCTCCTTGGTCACATTTTCTCAGGCAAAGGTCTCCACCCTGACACAGCGAGTGTTCAGCGTCGCTAATCTGAAGCCTCCCAAGAACGTCAAGGAACTGAAGCGCATTCTTGGCATGTTTGCGTTCATGTCATGCTTCATTCCCAATCTCTTAGAAGTTAGCGCTCCACTGCGTCTTCTACTGGGGCATGACACCATATGGGAGTGGTCTGCTACACAACAATAAGCCCTGGACAAGCTCAAATAGCTGGCCACCAATGTGCCCTGCCTCACATTTTTCGACCCAACCAAGCCCACGGTCATCAGCGCTATTGCCAGCAGTTACGGCTTGGGAGCTGTCCTATTGCAGGAGCATGACGACGGAATGCGCCCCATTGCATTTGCCTCACGCAGCCTCACCCCTACTGAGCAACAGTATGCGCAGATCGAGAAGGAGTGCTTGGCTGTTGTCTGGGTCTGTGGGCGATTCAACGGCTACATTTACGGCAACTCGTCGGCCAGATCTCCCGAGTATTCTGGACTTGGAGAATCAGTCCCGGGAGCAGTAGAACTTCCACTATGACCAACGGCATGCAGCTAAGCCTCTCGCGACTCTACAGCTTCATGACCGTGTATTCATGACCGATCTTGAGCGGGAGGGCAAGACAGTAGAGCAAGTGTCCAATCGTTCTGACCTTGTTGAGTCTGGTCACTGTACTGTACGCCGCAATCGTCGTCACTTGATCCGACAGAAGCAGAGAAGCTGGCAGTCGAGGTTGAGTACACTGGCACAGCAGTTGAGCCAGTCTAGAGCTCCTCAGCCTGTCAACCGCCTCATTGAATCATGCTAATTCAGCAACGTGCCGAGACGTATCTGCTGTCATCTCTGCACATCATTCATTTACTGCAACTTGCTCAACAAACAATACCTGTCCCTGCAGCAATTTGCGGAAAATTTCTCGAAAACTTGCGCAAAAAGTTGCGGCAGAAAACAACAAAATATGCGCCAAAAAGTGCGGAAATAGGCGCAACTTGCCAGGAATTCGCGGAATTATTTGCAGAAAATTGCGGATTTGGACCAAATCACGAAATTTGTTGCATCCGTAGAATCGCCATTTGCGCAGTAGATCGATCTACTTGGGAGTAGTACGAGTTGTACTGTGCAAATAGCCTACATGAACATGGAAAGCCCTTTGTGAAAAGTGCATGAAGATGCACAAACAAGTCCAGAAAACAACAAAACGCAGGAAATCGCGGGTTTGGGCTAAAAACGCGAAATTTGTTGCATCCGTGGAATCGCGATTTCCTGGAGGGACAGCAACACCTACGTAAACGAATAGTTTTTGTACTTCTCATCTTCTCTATTATAGCCTGTTTAATATCAGAGGGGAGATGTAGTGGATGCACATTCCACTGTTTGTCATTGCATCCTTTTATATTATGACATGTTTGCATTCATCCTGCTGCGCTGTCCGGCATGCCAATTGTACCGTACGCACTTTAGCTGTACCTGCCTGCCTGGCTTTTCCTTCAGCTCTCTGTCGTTCTCCGTGTTCCCACACACTTGTGATTTGTTGTAAACGAAGCTAGTTACAAGATGTCTTTGGTGCGTTTGTAGAACCACGTGACCACAACACCAAGATCCCACATATCGCGCAGTAACTCTGCATGCATGATATTCGTGAGGTCGGAGAAACCCACTTTTGTGCCTTCACTCTGCATACAATGGCATAGATGATTTTGACGGTTGCATACCATAACCCCTCATAACTCCGGTATGTATGGGACAAGGTTTTCCCTGAGTTTTTGTTTGTGTAATCTGCATTGCTGCGTCTAACCAATCGTGTGATGATATGTTTGTCATACTTGTAATTCCTATTCTATTAAACCGTGATTTTGTTCTGAAGTCGCTAATAAAGGATGATTATCATCGATCCCAGTTGTACGTACCTTCTCCATATCATCCCAGTTGTTGACGATACCATGTTCAATGGGATACTTGAGGAACAGTATTCCCCGCTTCGCCAGCGCCTCCTCTCCAATGTAGTTATCTTTCAAATTGAGGCCCACCATAACAATAGGCGGTTTGGGACGGCCGACAACCGTCCTGAACTCCGCTCTGGGTGCGTCGTCACCGGCGAAACCGGACTTGCACATACACGAGCCATTGTCTATGACAATAGCGGGGATTTCATCGTCACTCATTCTGGTGCCGCGATACTAATGTTGAGTAATGAGTATCGACCGATCGTACACGCACACTACAATGTTACAAATTTTGAGGTCCCAAAAACCATGAAAACACCAATCCTTTCATCCAGGCCATGCCAGCGCACGCCGGTCACGTCGCCCCATCGACCGTAGGTCTACCATGTAGATCTACCAGTGCCAGCGCTAGCGACGTATACGCGTAGTCTATCTATCTTTTGCCCTCACTTTTCACGAATATCTGCTTATTTCATAGTAAAAGAGACAGTGCAGTACTCAGTCGGTAAAAATCAGATCAATCCTGCCAGGGCAAGGCGACCCCACTACGGCACTAGCACTACACTCTACGGAGTAGGTCAGTACACACTGTCAGTACAGCCTACACTGGCTACAGGCTACACTACACTCTGACTACACTGCTAGTACAGCCCCGGTCACGTCAGGTCTCACAGTCTCAGGTGTGTCTTTGGCAGTGCAGTGACGTGTTGTTGAGCACCACAGCTGACACATGACCGTAATGATGATCTGCACGAACAGCAAAGCTTTCGGGCAGCCACATATCGTATTTTCCGGAGTATGCCGCACTTTGAACCAGGGAGTCGTGGGTCTATACGACTCCCTGCTTTGAACACTCAAATTCAGGGCTCACGGTTGTGTACAAATACGTGGGCGCCATTTTGTTTCTGGCCAGCTCACGCGACGACAGGTCGACTGTCACGCGACCACAGCTCGACCACCCCTTGTACACAAACTCTAGCCATCTCGCAGCGCATTTTCAGTGCGACACATGCCTCTTCAAAATAGAATAAGGTAGCACGGGTAGACAGTACGACACTGAAAATTTGGGTGGAACCAGGCAAGATGTTAACTAGGGGTTCAACCGAAGGAATTTTTGATTTTGGCCCCGGGAAACTAAAGATATGGTCACAAAGTCTGTGAATGCTCTACATCGATCCTTTCATCTAGGGAAAAATCGCTTCGGTTAAACTGTAGCTTAGTATCTCCTGAAGATTTTGAGCCATCGATTGTCAAAATCGGCCAATATTGTGCTACCTTATACTGTTTTGAAGTGAGCTAAGTCGGCAGGGGCGCACGCGAACTCCCGTGCGCGACGACAAGGAAGGAAGCCTGCGCATATGCGTTGTACGATGCGGAAACTACACCAGCGAGGCAGCAGCAAGGCGTTTTTTGCAATGTTTCCTCCGTGACTGACAAACTCTTGAAATATTATTGACCGTTTGCTGCCTCGCTCATCGGCGCTCTACTGCTGTGTGCTTCAGCAGCTATGGCAAACCGAAAATATATGACCAGTACAACGGCGAAGCCATTTGATTCGTCCTCTTGCAACGAAAGAGAGTGGCAAATCAAATAATTCACATCTCTCCATCGTCACTTCTCACAGCAGCGTGGCACGGCTCTTTCACTCGTGTAAGTGCATTTACAAAACGCTCTGAGAACAGAGATAACAAACTAGAACACGGTGTGAGTCTTTGCTTCATTCCATCAAGGAGCTCTCGTCCTCTACCTCTCCTCACCTGCGCCAGTGCACCAGCGGACGACATAGATGTCGATCCCTTTCTCAGCAAAGACTCGGCGGCAGAACTCGCGACTTCTCATCGCAGGACTCAGCGTGCGAACGAACTGTCTGAAGCCTTCGGCTTACGAGGCCAGCACTGCTCGCAACACACTCGCTCGGAAAGAAGCAATAACAACGACAGTGAACGGCAACCAAAGTGAAACACAAGTCCCCAGCCGGTCTCCGTCTTCCTCAGTTCTACTTCTTCTTGTCAGTCACCAGGTCACTGCAACTCTCTCGAGTCCTTGCTGTGCTCCGCGCCGCGTAGGCGTGCACTGCCGCGTGCATAGCTAGAGTCACGCGAGCTCATTTCTATGGTGATCAGATTTCAAGATGTCCTCCCACGTAATCGAGTTTTGGCATCCCAACCGTGAGCCCTGAAATTCAAAATTCATACAAAAAAAGGGGTGCGGCTTATACTCCGATGATCAAATTATTATTATTAAAGGGAAACTGAACGCCAAAAAAAAGTATGGCTTATCCGAAGGGGAATTGGGCACTGATTCCGATGAGCTATGTCTCGAGCCGATCCGAGAAGAGGAACCGTGTCAAATTTCATAAATAACACCTTCCATATTTGGAAATTGGGCTTGATGACGTGCGTACTGCTTAGCTGTCACCATGCTGTGCATGCTCAGCAGTGTAATTGAATGGAAGAAAACAATTACTTTGGTGTTTTGCAGCTCTATTTCGTTCCCTGACGGTAACCAAATCTAGATGTAGGAATCTGTTGAGCAGGAGAGTGACACATGTCTTCCCGAAGGCTGTCCAGGCTGCAGTGGTGATGAAGAAGACACGATCATCACCCCGAGATCGATTGTAGCGAATTGGAAAACTCATGGTGAATTAATTATTTGCTTCCACTCCAAGGCAATGTCGAGGTATGAAGGGTGCTTGTACTGCCTTCCAAAGTGAAGAGGAGATGAACATGGCTGTGAATAGCTGTTGTTCTATGCCAACTTACCTACTCTTGCTGGTACCGTAGTGCTATATTGCGAATTTCGTGGACGAACAACTCTCTAGTCACTAGTGGCTAGTGAGCAACACTAACAGGTGAGATTTTTCAATTTGACTAAAATTGTTTTTGTTTGAGAACTGACAGTGGTAGTCATTAGACTCAGTATGTGTCTCTCTGCTGCTTCTTTCCCTTCATCGGTAGGGCTGTGCTTGAAGTAAAAATAAATATAAAATGTGGAACAAAAATCTGATCATGTAGTTCAAATTTCAACTTCAAAGTATGTGTACATCAAATCACAAAAATTTCAAGGTGGTGCTGTGCATTGAAAAAGACTGGGAGCTGGCAGCAATGGAAAGGGCAGAAACGAAACCAGTAATGTAGAGTATTCATAAGGTAGAGGGAGCTGAAAACGGGAGAAGAGTAGTGAGCATTTCAGTTCGAAGTAGTGTCAATAGACAGCATTGTGTTGCATACGTTGTGAATATTGTGTGAATCTAATAATTGGCGGAGGGTAGTGATTAGGCAGAGCATTGTTACAATACAAGGTACTCTGTGAGCAGATAGAAATCAATATCACGGCATGGTTTAGACAGGAACCCATAAATGGCACGAAATTGCTAATCCAAAATTATAATAATTATTATCCCCTGAGTATGAGTAGTATTTTTTATTATGGTGTTCTCCTGTGTTTACATGCAGAGCCTTGACGTTGCTGGACGAGCGACAATATAAATTACATAAACATGTAGCTCATGATGTGGAATGACTGCCGTATCGCATTGCCAACGCAAACCCATCCTGTGTCAGTGCAGCCATCCAGCAACTTCAACTCCCGGGACCAGATGCCGCTGCAGCTGAACACCATGCCAATGGAAAGCCAGGAGTTGATAGCGAAGCATTCTGGTCTGCACAGTACAAGGCAAAGAACAATTATGAATTATAACGCATTGTAATCCTTCCCACACTTCTTTGTAAAAACAAACAAACAGTGCCATTATCAGAACACTTGATCAAGCATCTTGATGGAGGTATTTTCCATTGTGCTGGCCCCGCATCTGCACCAGGAAGACCATGTTCACTTACACGTATCTTGTGTGTTCGGGCGTGTGTGTATTCGTCTGTGCACACGTGTGTGTGTGTGTGTGTGCGTGGGTCCTACGCACATGTGTATGGGTAGGAGTGTGTGTGTGTGTCGAGGGGGGGGGGGGGGGGTACATGCACATGTGTATGGATGTGCGCGCTGCACGCGCGTGTCTGTGGGATGAGGTGGGGGTGCACGCACATGTGTACATGTGTGTGCGCACTGATACAGCATGTGTGTATGTGTTCGTTGAACACATGGTGTCCTCCTGATCCCATAAATTTTGTGATCATTGTGATTTCATGTGCTTTGAAGTTGAAATTTGCAATACATGTACTGATGCTTGATTAGATTTTATGTTCCACATGTTCTATTTATTTTAATTTACTTCAAGCACTTGTACTATTCAGCACAACCCTACGAATGAAGGGAAAGAAGCAGCAAAGACACCTACTGAGTCAAATGACTGCCACTGTCAGTGGACCGTATGCGTGTTAAAACAAAATGGCGTCACGATTTATTGAAAGTGGTATAGTTGGTGGAACGAGTGTTCAAACCCATTTGAACTTCATACTGTTCGTCTTCTTTTTGACATGCTCTCTTTCCATCGTCCTTAGCTTTTGTTTGTTGAGAGCTGTTTTGGCTTTCTCCTATACCTCTGGGGGATGCCAAGTGATGGTTTTGAGAGGCTGGTGATGGCTGTGAGCGAGAGTTTGCCGATCGGCGTCGTCCTCGCTATAGCGATGAAAATACTAGTTACTGCGCACCTGGCAGATATCACAACACGTCGGAGCGTCCAGGAGCAAAGGAATCTTGGGTTTTCACTGGAATCTAGTTCCACCAGCATCGTGTAGCCCACCGTCGGTGAATGGTGGTCCAGAAAGGTCGAAACTGGTCTTCTGCAGCATCTCGCAGTCCTGCGAGGCACACTGAATACGCCTGTCATGTATTCTACAAATAAAAATCACGAAGTAGTGGACTTTACAGTGATGAGTCTATCCTGTATGCTGCAAAAGACGCAGGAAATGTGACTGGTGTCCGTACACTGGACGCCAATATCATCCCAGTCTTCTCCTGCAGGATCTGTTTGTCAACTTTGACATTGACATACCGGTGTGCAGTGGGTCGACATTGGCCTGGTTTGGCAGCTATCTGCCTGGGTGGATGTAGCAGGTTTGCATTGGCGCGTCGTCCAGTCCGACATTTTCTTGTAACTGTGGAGTACCGGCAGGGTCTGAGAGGTTGCTCGTGCTGTGAACACATCTCTACTGCCTGTCTCGTCCTGGAAGTGCCGTCTCGCCGCTTCCTTGCTCTACAGTCACGCCGTTATTTCGCTTTGTTTCGTGGTGCAGCTCAAAACCTGCCCAAACAACTGTGAGCTCGCAACATGGTATGGACAAATTGCACCACTCATGCTGGTTAACTAAACTGACCGGGATAGTCGAGTAAGCGAGTTCACTCCCTGGGCCATGGCAAGATCTGTTCAGCGCGGGCTATTCCAACCTCCAA